CTTTCCCTAAAGATTGTTGGTCACCACTGAACCAGCAAGTGCACTACCAGGATCCTTCAAGTTTCTCTGAAACAGCTAATTAAGCTGTAATTTTCACCTAGCACTCCCCCCACCCTTGGCTCCAGCTGCTGGGGATTGCACTTGTGCTACAGTCAGCTGAGGGGAAGTCAGCATGGCCAACTACGCTCTTTTTTATAGGGCCAATCTCTTTTGCAAAGGCAGGGGGAGAGGGTAGCTCTTCTTCCTTCCTAAAAAGAAAGAAAGAAAAAATAGCCACTGCCAGATCCTTCTGTGCTCTTACCACAGAAGTTTGGGGTTTTTTTAATAATAAAAATTGACCTCGATATACTGACACCAGCCAATACACAAAGAGTTAACTAAAAATTACTACCATTTATGAATACTTAAACTAGCACATACGCACCCTTCCAGGCTTTGGTCCACTAGTACTGCTCCTGAAAGCATCAGTCACAGATTTGATCCTGAACAGGCAAGTGCCTTTAGGATCTGAATACTTTCAACACTATGTCTGGGTTTCCCTGGGTAGGAAATCTTGATGCACAAGGCATGGAATTAAACTACTGTGATAGAACCAGGCCAGTAGCATCTCAACCACCAGAGGACAATTCCTGAAACCCCTTTGAATTTCTGGGTATGAATGACTTTCCATGGCCACAAGATTAACTTTCACATTTTCCACTGAGTGACAGCTGTTAAGGAGGGGCATCTGTATGATATCCTGGTTAAGGATGTATGAAGTAGATTAAAAGAACCACAAGCATGAAAGATAGGACAGCTACACAAAAATTGCTCAGAAGCTTAAACAAAGCTATTTAAATAATACAGTAGGAGCTTCAGAAAGCTTGTAAAGCACTATATATACACACAAGGACACTTACTGCTTTAACACTCATAGGAAGTTCTGGATATATCGAATGGAGAAAGCTGGATCACACACAGATTTTTAGTTCCAGAACTTCCTGTCTCAGTAACGGGCTTCAAAAAGAGGACTTCATCACAGAAGCAGATGGCTCTTCAAAGCAGTGAGTTTGGGATTAGGGTTTTTACAGTGAACTGGAAAACTAGTTTGTGCTCTCAGCATCTGCAAGGATGGGAACAGCTAAACAGAACAAATCAGAGGATCTGAAATAGTCAATTGGCTGTTTTGTTTAGGAAAGAACTTAACCTGCTAGAACTTACTGGTTTTCATCCCCTGGCAAGTGTGATATACCGTGTATCATAGAAAAGAAAGGTCTGTCTTCTGAGCCAGCAAATTCAGGCTTCAGTTCTGTGCCTTGAACCTGTCAAATACTTTATTTTTCTCATGTTTGACTTCTGAAATGCTTAAGGCTTCCTATGGGTACATGAAAAAGAAAGATCCAGTTTAGGTCTTGAAGCTAAGCTGTGTTTTCAAAAGGATACTTATGGTCAAAGCTATACCATAGCCTGAAGAGCCAAGCACTTTCCTGTTTTGTCCTGTTCTTTCTTTCAGAATCCAGGCCATCCTAAAAATAAGATAAAAACATACTCCATTATTTCAGGCAGAAAACAATCAGATCATACATTCCAATAATTTGCATTATAATGTCCTGTCCAAAAAGCCAAATTACCTCAATATTGTACTTGAACTGCTGAAGAAAGCTATTTAGAGACAGGATTACATGATTATACTGAGAAGGTTACTTTCCCTAGAAAGACCAGAAATAACTGCAGAGAGGTAGGCTCTCTTCATTATCCTCAGATCACCTTAATTAACCCTTTGCTACCAAGTTTTCTTAATTCTAAAAATTTATGGCACATCTAATGCAGTAATGGAGATAGACATAAGTCCAAACCTGACAAATAAGCCTCACTGATGTCTTGTCTTCATCCCCATCTCCAAATAAACAAACTGGAATAATCCAGACTGACTCCTACTCATTGCTTGGTTGGCTTCCTTAAGTCTAGGTCTATTTGATGTTCTTCCCCCTAAGTTTGTTGCTTCCTTGGAAGATCAAGAAAATTTTCCATACCTGACAAACTCTCACAAACCTGATGAACTATATCAGCCTTGCAAGAAACATGCTTAACAGGGAACCCATGTAAAATCACAATTGCAGAAGGTCATGCAGATTTCAGAAGTGCTAGGTCAACCTCAGACACACTAACAGTGCTGAACACAATCCCCTCTACTAGCTGTGCTTCAAGTCATTGCACCAGCTGCTCTGCAGCTGCGTTTGTTTTTACTTTTGTTACTGTTTTGGCCTTTTTTTTTTTGTCCAGAGGCCAAAGTTAAATGCAGGAAAACAGATGAAGTGAGAACGCCTTGTATGAATCATCTTCCAAACTACTGGAAAAAGAACAAGATGGGATTGCCTTGTGTACTTCCAATGTGATCCACCAAGCGTAAAAGCTTAGTAAATTTTCACTCCCACCCCATCCCAAATGATGTATTTTTTTTACTGTGACATGCTGCTAATCTTGGCTTGGGGAAAGAAAAAGGAATAAATTAGGAACCGACTAATGGAGTCCATTAGGAATGCAAGGCACAGCTAGAGAGGGAAATACATGGGTTAAGTGCTTTATGTTTACATGGGAAAACAGTAAAAAAGTTATTTCCACCCAGACACTGGATGAGAACAGAATACCCATGCTCTGTTTCCTGTTAAAGCAATTCTTCAAACACTGGCAAGCCCAGTCTGAACAAGCCATTTTAGCACAATACCATTTCCTTGATTTCAGGCAGTAACTGTGGCCTTTACTGCAGAAGGGCTTTTTTGTGGCCTGGCTTTCTGGTGGCTTCCGGATAGCTACAAAACCAAGTTCAATCTCTTTAGTACCCAAACCCACCATTTCAGAATCTATTTTGTGAGCTGGACAAAGACCATAGAGATGCCTAAAGCAGTTTCTGCAATGAAAAGAAGTGCTTTCTGAGCAAGGAACTCTTACCTGTACAACCTGTGACCAAAAAAAAACCAAACAAACAGGCAAGGAAGGAGAAACCACTAGTAAGAAAGCTGTTCCCAGGTACAGCAAGTATCCCATGCAAGTATCTGTGATCAGCCTGAACAGCATCATCATACAACCTGAGATTTACAAAGCAGAGTTTATACATTTTCACTCTGTGCATCCTCTGGGTCCAAAGTCTTCCCTGCCACTCAACTTCCTCCAGCAGGTTCCCACATAAGCAGTCGTGCTACTGAACAATTAGTGTCAAGCAGTACTCCTGGAGAGGGTATTAGGACTGGACACAGGAAGCTCCCAGTGAAGCCTCAGGAAATGTTGTTCTGCTTGGGTTTTTCTCAGACCTTTCACTCCTCCTATGAATTCACTCAGGTTACACATAATTCTTTTCCTAAGTCTTGTTTGCCCACAGAATATAGCAAGGAAAAAGTCAACTCTTGGGTTGTTAACTGCAGCACAAAAAGCTGCACTAAAGATTCACAGCCACAGTTTTATGAATATAAATCACAATTTTCCAGTGCTCTTTGTGCCTCATACATGTGGTAGGTAGTACAGGCAAGATCCAGCTGGCTTGTTGTATAGCATACAGGGGCTGAAATAGGATTAGTGAACTTCATCTTTGATTCAAAGCAAGTCCAAGGGCCAAGACTTGGTAGCAATTATTGAACAGAAGCCAAATGGATTATCTCTGGGAGGACTGTTTATGCTATAGCATGTGAAACTCAAGCATGTTGGGTGGGTGCAGGAAGAGGAAAGCACACTGTTATACAGAGTGTATTAGTAGATTTGGGAAGGGGTTTGATACCTTACATGTATGTGTATATATATATATAAGTGTAAACAAAAATTTTAATGCTGTGACATTTTACCCAACACCACAGACTATTTTTCAGTGGGTGTCACTTACATACTATAAAGTAAAATGTATTACTGACTTGTCAGCTAAGAGAAAAAGGTTTTACCTGTGCACATAGCTTCATCAGTTCTTTATCATCTTAGCTATAAAATAAGACCATCCTAATAGCAGAGTTACATGATTACTTACTCCTTGTAAGACTTGAAAGCTGTCATTAGTAGGTGGAGGATCCTGATCTGGGTCAACCCCAACCCTACAGAAACATTAGGAAAACAAAGCAAGTGGTGTTATTGAGGGTTGAAAATGCTGTAAGTTTGGCAGAATGCATTTTAAAAGCATTTCAGGCACCCAGCAAAGCTGCATTCAGAGAGGCTATAAGAACAGTTTGAGGAAGAGCTGTCCATTATTCCCTGCAGTTACGTGACTATAAACAAGATAAGTTTTTCACTCAAGTAGCAACTGCCTGTAGGTAACAGCATTAACTCAGCATAAACTTCCCTGCTGCTTACTTTTGTTGCCAGTCATTTTAGCATGCTGGCAAAAATTATTTTTGGCTTAAAAGGTAAACTGTGGATAACATCCTCTTCAGTGGATTCATGTCCAGCAGCAAGAAATCAGAGACTAAGGATAAGCGCAGCCTAAGTATTTAACACAGCAAGTAACTTAGCTGCCAGATAGGGATGAAAATAGCTCAAATATACAATTTTTAAAAGCCACCCAGCCAAGTTTTAATGCACTGTGTGAAACAACAAAAAAACTTCATGAAGACCCATAATAGTAATTTGCTGCAAGTTCCATTCACCTAATACAACAGAGCCACAGTGGATTAATAAGAGGTCTGTCTAGTCCAGCCTTCCATCTGAGGGAGGGAGGGTCTGTACAATGAGATGGTAGATGATTACAGAGTAGTATGTTAATAAGAAACTGTTTACTCTCTTCTGCAAAGCTAGCAAGCATCTTGTTACTGAACCATCCTTTCACACACAGCTCCTGTCCAAGATGGGTATTTAATCCTTGCAATTATGTTCAGGTTTTTCTGGTCTGTTTTGTCTAAGATTAGACTTGCCTAGTTTTAAATCCTCTTCATGCCTTAATCACTGTGCTCTCTTGTAAAACCTAGATCTCCAACCTGAAATGTTAGGCAAGATTGTCAGTTTTGGGTATATTGTGTTTCAGTCCTACCATGTTGCATAATAAATGTAGGAAAATCCACGCAGTGACAGAAGCACAAAACTTCTTAATTTCCCCTCTCTTGGAAGGGACAGAGATTGTTTAGTGTCATGTCTTTGTTACCTAGACTTGCTGCCAGCTATTTCTAGCCACAGTGATTATGCAACATCCCTGAGGATCACCAGAAACCCACAGAACTTTGCTAGTAGGACTGTACCATTTGTGTGTCCCACGGACACGTGCTTGCATAAGGCAAGCAGTGATCCAGTTATCTTCAGGTACTGAAGACTGCATGGATTGAACTAAAAAGGATCACCTTCAAGTAACTTCCAGGGCATCATCTCCTAACAGCACAAGGAAAGAAGAAAAGTAGGCATGGAGGTAAAGTTTTGAGTCATCCCTGTGGACTTGCAGCCAAACCAAGGCTTCAAATGACTATGTAGAGTTCAGGGAAAATCCATAAGGCCACTCTAAAACAAACTACAGCAGCCTCATATGGAGCTAGTGCTGACCTCTGAGTATCAAAAAAATCCTCTGGATTTTTTCCTGAGTCTCTCTTCTTTCTTCATCACTTGCTTTTTTACATACAGAGACATCTTAACCCTTAGGCACATCTGGCCAGGGAATTCATTGGTACTGACCAGCGTCGAGAATAAAGAGTCTCAGAAGTTTAAGGGAACACTGGACAGACAGATTGGGTACTGGATTGTAGCAAGTGCTAAAATAAACTGTCACACACAAGACCTCTGGAAGGTTGGAAAGCTTAGATGTTACTGCTTGAGGCTATCACTAAGCAGGAAAGACAGGATAAGGAGGGTTTTCTTCGGAACAGCTGCTGTAGCCTCACGCAGGAAGTTAAAAGGCAACATCAGGAAACCTGCTCAGTATGGCAATACATGCAAGACTGTGCATTCCTTTACAAATACATATAATAATAAAGAAAAGGATTTGTGGCTTTCAAAGCTCCAACTGCACATTGGGGAGTTTCAACACACTGAGCACAACAAACACCCTCAAGCTGCAGCTGGCACTATGAACAGGGAGTTCAAGGAGCTCTCCAGAAGATGCACATAGCTTGCATTCCTTAAATAGTTTCAACTCACTGGGCTACCCATTCACTTCACAGCCCATAAGAAACCCAAACAATTCAAAATTTTACTTGACTTACAAGGCCATGGATTTGTTTTGGGGATTTTAATTGCCTTTAGGCAGGGGAAGGGGGCCTTAGTGAGGGACCAAAGCAGGATGGCCATAGAGTTCAGTGAAAAGTCACAGTACATCACAGGCCAGTGGTGTGGGTTCACTGTTGTGCTGAAGAGGAAGAGAGAGCTTTTCAATATTAAAATGGTTCAACTTGGAGAAAAAAACCCTCTTACTACAAATGTTTATTTCAATACTGAAATAATACATCAATACAGACTTGTCCATTTACTTTTTTTTTTTCAAATATATTCTTCGGGTGAAATTGTATTTTGAGTATTTCTTATTCTTTCCCATAAAAAAGTTGGGGTATTTTAAGTTCATGTTTCAAAGTGTGTTTCTCGATTTACAGATTAACACAAAATCTTACTATTTTGAATTCTCACAACTACTTTTTCTGTCTTTCAGCCAGCATACTATGTGTCTCATTCTCTACTCTAACATTAGTTGTATAGGAAGCTTTATTCTTCTCTAGCAAGTCTGCCTATTTAAGTTTCAAGGTCTATACACCCCAGTCTCAGGACAAGCACCATGTTTTTGCAGCCTCTCTCCCCTAAATTTCTAAGAACATCTTTATCACCTTAAACAAAACAATAATAAAAAGCAGTGGAGTCTCATCTGACCTTCTTTACAACGAAGAGAAGCACAGAAAACATTTAGTTACTTCATCCTTACTTAATTACTTCTATAATTAAAAGTACAATTAAAGCTGATCCATGTATGTCTTCAACAGAATTGTTTTTCCTGGTGACTAAAAGAAAAAAAAATCTCACATCCTTAAGTGCACTCAAAAAAATTCCTGTAATTCCAATGTGCTGCAGAGGCCAATATCAGTTCTCATTTATTAAATCAGCTTTCAAATTAAGAAAAATTGTTACTGGATTAAGTGAAGCAAATCCCCTCTCAGAGGTCAGGGGCACAGAGTGTGGCCTTCTTAGTGACTGTGGTGTTTTGCTCAGACTCCCCTGCTGAAAGGCAGGTGAGCAAGCTCTGGTTGAAAAGTGTTGGGTTTTTTTAAGAGGGACAGTCAGTGTGATAGGGACTGAGGGGCACATCAGCTGCAGGACAAGCACAGCCAGGACAGTGCAGATGCCAGCAAGCATCTTTCTTTTCCCCTCCATGCTTTCTGAAAGCCCATTGCAGCAGTTGTGTGTCAGTTCCCTGGGAGTGTACAGCTGCAATTCAAACAAGCAACCCTTCCAAAGCAGATGTCAGAAGAATATGAGCAGTCTTTCAGCTGTAACAAGGCATATACATCCCAAAACTGGGGAAAAAATCCATGTATTTCCTGCATTGGCATCAAGTGGGAATTTGATAGATACTTTAATATTTCAGTACAGACAGTTACTAGTACATAAAGTTAAGCCATCTTTATTTCTGCACTGGAAAGTTTACTTGAATCTGTAGATGAGAGTATGCTACAGTAAAAATTAATCCAATTTAACATTTCTTCACTCCTCCCTGATTAAAATGTTGTTTTTAAGGCATAGGAGGCTTTTTGTGCTCCAAGAGCTCTGTAATTGCAAAAGGACTGCCACTGAGCTCCAATGCCCAATACCAAAGCACCACATTTCTGCTCTTGACAGACTCCTGACCTTCTTGGTCTTTATTCTGCAGCTACAACTCCAGCACCACACATAGGAAAGCAGTTAACAAGACTGATCCCTCAAACTCTTAGCCTATGTGTAACTCAGTAATTTAAACAGTGTGGTAGAAAAGGTTTTATACCTAAAATGTAGAACACAAGGTAGAAATGAAATGGATGGAAAGGAATGGTAAAAAAAACACAACAGAAAGAAGTACTTCACATTTACCACTATGTCATTTTTAAATGGGTGGAATAATTTCTTTTGATACTTCAAAAACCTGTCCAAGGCCCTGCAACACACAGATGACAAGTTATCAAAATACCAGGCTTTATTACATTCTAGCATATGTCATTACTGTGGCAGCAGCCAAGAATGACTGCAACATGTAATAGATTTGAGATTCTTTGTACCAGCTAATATACTACATCTCTGGCAAATTTAGTATTTTGCTGAGAACCTTCAAGTGTGACAGGATACATAAAAAACTTTCAATTGCCCCATCCTAAACAGTTTTCTTTACATAAATATTCTGTATATATATTCTTATATATATATATATATACACACGTACGTATACACAAGTACACATTCCCCTATAAATGCCAGTTGTTTTTTATTCTCTCTTTATCCATGTATCAGTTCTAGAAACCATCAACTGGAGAAGACTAAGATTCTGGTTTATCTCTACTCCTATTAGCATCTTCCCATAAAGCAATGTGATAACCCTCCGTTTTTAAAATATATCCTAAAAGACACTGGTCTGAGTCTTCTACTAAGTCCCTTTCAAAATGAACAGTTGCATGAAATAACCCCAAGGGATGCTTAAGAATACCTGTGTGATTAAGGATCTTAGGATCACATCCATGATTTCTCAGCTTTCAAGTATTCCCAGGCCAGAGATATTTTTTCTCTTCATTGATTACCCATACACAGAGGGATTAAAGACTGTGATGCTTTGTGGTGGTGGTTTTTTAAGCTAAAGACATGATGTGTGCTCCAGGCTCTCCCAGATCAGGAGAACAGGCTCAGAATTGAGGAACACCTACAGCACCCTGCAGGAAAGGAGAAGCAGCAGCAACAGCAGCATGCCATAGTTCAGAAAATGAGCACACACAGCGTTATAAAGATGAAGGAAGCCCAGCACCAGGTTAATTTGGTATCAAGGAAAGCACAGAGTCACCTGAAATACAGCCAGTGGCTTTCACTCATCTCTTCCACCAATGGAACATGGTCACCAACTCTGGTACAGTACAAGAATGCAATGTGAGTAACAAAATGCTCATGAGATGGTAGC